AGAGTGCTTGTGGTCACTCATAGACCAGAGCATAGCCCAGGAAAGGAGTAAGCACTTTGTCCTTGATCATACCACCTTGGAAAAACTGAAAATTTACAATTCCATAGAAATATCTCTAAAAACAGCTACACAAAACCCCCAAGCTTCAGACAGTACATTCTCCACACTGGAAGCAGACCCCCTACCTTAACAAAGAGTTTGAAACTCAAGTAATTGGCTGGGAATGTGAGCAAACTGTGCAAAAAAAAAAAAAAGTTAGACCATAGAATCTTTCTTTGGTGACAAAGAAGATCAAAACATACAACTAGAAGACAACAAAGTCAAAGTTCCTACATCCAAAGACTCCAATAAAAATATGAATCAGTCCCAGGCCAAGGAAGAGCTCAAAAAAGATTTTGAGAAGCAAGTAAGAGAAGTAGAGGAAAAATTGGGAAGAGAAATGAGACCGATGCAAGAAAATCACAAATAACGAGTCAACAGCTTGCTAAAGGAGACCCCAAAAATACTGAAGAAAATAATACCTTAAAAAAAGAGGCTAACCAAATGGCAAAAGAGGTCCAAAAAGCCAATGAGGAGATGAATGCCTTAAAAAGCAGAATTAGCCAAATGGAAAAGGAACTCCAAAAGCTCAGTGAAGAAAATACTTCTTTAAAAATTAGAATGGAACAACTGGAAGCTAGTGAGTTTATGAGAAACCAAGACATTGTAAAAGAAAACCAAAAGAGTGAAAAAATAGAAGACAATGTGAAATATCTCACTGGAAAAACAACTGACCTGGAAAATAGAACCAGGAGAGATAGCTTAAAAACTACTGGACTACCTGAAAGCCATGATCAAAAAAAGAGCCTAGACATCATTTTTCAAGAAATTATCAAGGAAATCTGCCCTGATATTCTAGAACCAGAGGGTAAAATAGAAATGAAAAGAATCCACTGATCACCTCCTGAAAGAGATCCTCAAAGGAAAACTCCTAGGAATATTGTAGCCAAATTCCAGAGTTTCCAGGTCAAGGAGAAAATATTGTAAGCAGTCAGAAAGAAACAGTTCAAGTACTGTGGAAACACCAGGATAAAATAGGGTTTAGTAGCTTCTACACTAAGAGACCACAGGGCATGGAATATGATATTCTAGAGGGCAAAGGAGATAGTATTACAGCCAAGAATCACCTGCCCAGCAAAACCTGGTATAATCCTTCAGGGGAAAAAATGGATATTCAGTGAAATACAGGACTTTCAAGCATTCTTGATGAAAAGACTAGAGCTGAATAGAAAATTTGACTTTCAAATACAAGACTCAAGAGAAGCATGAAGAGATAAACAGGAAAGAGAAATCATAAGGGACTTATTAAGGTTGAACTGTTTACATTCCTACATGAAAAAGATGATATTTGTAACTCATGAGGCCTTCGTCAGAATTAGGGTAGTGGGAGGGAAAAAAATTATACATATAGATAGAGATTGATAGATAGAGGGCACAGGGTGAGTTGAAGATGAATGGGTGATATCTGAAGAATAAAATTAAGGGGTGAGAGAGGATTAAACTTGGAAAAGGAGAAAGGGAGAAGTAGAATGGGATAAATTAGCTCACATAAAACAGACAAGAAAAGGCTTTTACAATGGAAGGGAAGTGGGAGAAGGTGAGAGGGAATGAGTGAATCTTATTCTCATCAGATTTGACTTTAGGAGGGAATAACATACACACTCAATTGGGTATGGAAAGCTATTTTACCCTATAGGAAAATAGGGGGGACGGGGATAAGAGAGTGGGGGGGATGATACAGGAGAGGGCAGATTGGGGAGGGGATAATCAGTAGCAAACATTTCTGAAGAGGGACAGGGTCAAAAGAGAGAATAGAATAAATGGGGGGCAGGATAGAATGAAGGCAAATATAGTTAGTTTTCCACAGCATGACTACTGTGGAAGTGTTTTGCATGACTACACAAGTATAACCTGTATTGAGTTGCTTGCCTTCTCAATAAGGGTGGGTAGGGAGGGAAGAAGGGAGAAAATTTGGAACCCAAAGTTTTAAAGATAAATGTTGATAAATTGTTTTCACATGCAACTGGGAAATAAGATGTACAGGCAATGGAGTATAGAAATCTATACTGCCCTACAGGAAAATAGAAGAGGAAGGGGATAAGAGAAGCAGGGGAGATAGAAGGGAAGGCAGATTAGGGGAAAGGATATTCAGAATGCACATTCTCTTGGGGTGGGAGGAGGGACAAGATGGGGAAGAAAATCTGGAACTCAGAATTTGTGGAAGTGAATCTTGAAAATTAAAAATAAATAAATTAATGAATCTTAAAAAAATAAATCTTGTTCTTATTATTAAAGAGCACATATTTGATAAAAATGTACAAAGATATAGCATTAATTTTGATGCTCATTTATCTTTTACAAAAATATCATAGATAACAAATATGTCATTTTGGCTACATCTAAGTCTTGTTTTAATTCTTCCATGTTTTTCAATGTAATTGTACACACACACACACACACACACACACACACACACACACACATACACACACATATATTTATATGGCAGAGATAGGCAGCATAGTGTTAATCTGAATTACCTGAAAATAATATCTATTATTTGACAGCTTCTATACATTTTGAGTTGTATATGGGATATGCAAAGGAATTGTCCATTCAACACAGGAAGTAAAGTTTCTTACTCTAAGAAGTACCAATGATTCATAGCATCCATAAAGTTTTCATTTAAGAATATATACCCAGAAATTACAAATATTAAATCCAAATTCTATTTACTTCCACATTTGAAATAACAGGATATTCTAAAATAATGCATTTTTTCTTATTCTTTGTAGATACAATTTTTTTTATGTTGAAAAAAGTTATGTGACTTTTAAGCATATCAAAGAAGTGAATAAGAAGACTGGATCTGAAATGGATCAGCTGCACACCAGGGAATACCAGGTCAGTTACTTTCTTTCAGGGTAGTTTGTAGATTGCTTTTATTGGGAAATTATAGCTATTACTTCTAGCACTTGAGTTAATTGCTATATTTGCAATTTTATAAACATACTAAGGGCCAAGTCCTTCTGGTAAGAGACCTGTTTATAAAAACTCTCAAATGACCCATGACATACTCGTCAGAGTAATGCTGCTGACAAAAATAGGCACAGCGTAGGGAGGAGAAGAGATAGAGTAGAAACAGGCTTCAATTATTTTCTTATTTGTTGATGCATCGAAGTAATTTCATTCTGTTTTTCAGGCCATATTCTTCAAGGTAAGTGACCACTGCCTAGCTGTAAAAGCCTGATGCTAGCTTGCTTTATTTCACACTATGTATCTAGTTCTTATGAACATATGCTATAATTCACTACTGTATAGATGCTACAGAGAAAGCTTATGCACCACCAAATTAGTTCTGCTATATTTTAAAGGAGCTCATTAACTGGAATACTCTTTAACCTTTAAGTGTTTAACAGAAAAAATCCCTCCTTAACTTTGCTGTCTAACTGTTTGTGGTGGTGGTGGTATCAGTGGTGGTAGTTTGGTAATAACAGGAGAAAAGCATAAGGAAAGGTGGAAGGGATCATAAGAGTCTAAGTTTGGTGTGAAGTAGGTAGAGGTTTGATTTGGCTTATTTGACAAATTTGGTAAACAGAAAAATGAAATCTCTTTCTTGAACTCATCTCTTTTGTGTACTCACTACTGTAATATCTAATAAAGGTCCTCATTAGTAGTTTAGATGACTGTAAAAACATGAGAATGAATTTTCCTGCCACTAATTTTTATAGCCCCTCCAAGCTATTCTTAATTCTGTTGACAGATGTATTTTGTCTGATCATATTAATCCTCTGTTCAAAACAATCTAGTGGCTTTCTATCATCTACCCAATTAAATACAGATTCCTTAGTCTGGCATTCAATGCCCTGTAGCATCATGTTACCTTTTCAATATACTTTTCAAATTGTACTTTTTTGCCTCTGTGCCTCAGCTTATGAAGTTATTACCTTTATATTGTTTCCTTTCACCAGCTTCACTCAACAGACACCATTTACATTCCATACTTGGAAGGAATATACAAATCATCTGTACCCATACTTCCTTGAAGCAATCCTAGCTTTCCTACCTCTGTGATCTTGGGTAAATTGCTTCATTTCTCTAGTGATACTTAATGATCTCTAAGTTCCTTTCTTGATCTAATGCCTGAATTCTATGATTCTACATTTATAAGAAGTAATTGTCCAACTACTGGATCAACAAATTTTACTAAGTTAATTTATTCTGGTAACAAAATAGGAGAGGCAGCTTGCCTTTAAAACAGAAAACACTATACTATAAACCTTGTAAGTGGATTTCAGAACAGATAAGTTCTAAAGTAACGATGTACACTGATACTGATGTTCAGAAAGTAATTAATATACCACTGATAAGTAGCAGTGTGGTATAGTGGAAAGAGATCTGGCCTTGAAGCCAGTAGGACCAGAGTGCAAGTTCTCCCTCTGACACGTATTGGACTGTGACCCTAGGAAAATCACTCAGCCTTTCAGTATTCTAGGGAGAAGCTGCCAAACTCTTGGCCACCGGCTCTGGTCTAAACTAGATTAAAATGTAATTGGGAAATATTTAACAAAAATGGATAAAAATAAGATAGAACATAAATAATGTAAATATGTGGTTTTCTTAGTCAATGTGTGGCCTGCAGAGCCGTATGTACCCCACATTCTTTCTATTTGAGTTTGACATCACTACTTTAAGTAGCTCTCTAAGGTAAATAGCAGAGAAGAGGCTGATCTGAACTGGTAGAGGGATTTTTCACATCAAGGACTTTCCCATTACAATGAAGTTACAGATCTAGGCCCTATCCCTTGTGAATGATGATGGATGTAAAGTTAGGAAGTCTTGTGTACTTAGGTGAGACCTTGCCCTTTAATTGTATAAAGAGACAGACTGGAACCATAGTTTATGTTTAGCACTAATATACTTTAAAAGTAAAATGGTTCTTTGCTTAGACATTGTCTTACCTCTACAAGTTGGTAAAGGGCTGCTCCATTGGCCATTGCTCCGACACTGGGCTCTTGCTGCACCCTGAAGGAGATAACCTGTGCTACAGGTGAAGTTTACTATATCATTCAAGTTGAACTCACTACCATTTGTCAATCCACGAGCAGGGTTTCCAGGATGTCCACATGTGATTGCTGTTGGGATAGCACATGATAAATGAAAGAGCAACTCATTAAACTGATTCAGTCAACTAGACAGGCAGCATCATATATTGGACAGAGCATTGTATTTGGAGTCAGGAAGACCTGACTTCTAATTCTACCTCAGAGATTTACAATCAGTACGGCCCTGGGTAAACTGCTAACATATGACACGTGTATCATTAATGATTAATTTTTGCTCATGGTTGAATAGCCAATATATAACAAAAATATTTTCACTTTAAACTTAATAGGCAATACAAGTAAAGGCCCTTTAAAATCCTTTCATAATTGTGATGTTTTAGATATTTCCTCAGAGGAACTATAGCTCATTTTGGTTCATTCTATAGCAGAAGCTCATTTATACTGGTGACAGGTCTCTTTTCAACTCATTACATGGATGAAAAATATATTGGTGCTTTGAATCCTCAATACATAAAATGATTCTTATCCAAGATTAAATATTATGGCATTCATTGTAAAAATATTTTCCCTCTAATACTGTAATTTTCTTGATCATTTCTATATTAGGACATTGAGGTATACAGAGAACTATCAATGTGCATGATATAAAAGTGAAGTTTTCTAAAAAAAAATAACAGCAATAAAAGACTCTAAAGTTTAGATTATTGGACTCCTCAACAGTCATATTCTAGTCAGTTAAATTTAACCACCATTTTTATTCTTATTTCTCTTAACAGATTCTTTTTCTTGCTCAAAGTAAAGCTCTTACACTCTGAACTTGTTAAATCCACCATTTTATCACCATATGCCCTAGCTATATAGTCTCTCTGTCCTTTTTTTTCTCTCTCTCTGCTCTCTCTCTCCCTCTCCTCCACTAGGATTCAATTTTATATAAAAAAGCATTAGAAAGTGTAAAAATTCCATTTTTACCTCAAGGGGGGATTATAATACAGTGTAACAATGAAGGACAACATTTATTTGAACACTGGTCTAGGTTAAAAGCCAATTACTGACTATAATTGAATTTTACTTATTAAAAAGTGAGTGGTCTATTTTGTTTAAGTGTCTGTTGTCTTGATGGGACATAGGACACAAAAATACAGTTCAAAAATACAGCAGAAGGAAAAAGCAAACCTACAAATTAGGAAATCTATAAAAGATAATATACTAGAGATTGACTGAGAATTTTGCATTCAAGTAATTGACTTTTTCCACCTTTCTTATTCTAAGATGAGGATTGTGAAAATGAAATAAGCAACAAAATTTATTATGGAATTACTCAAAGGAAGTGAGGGACAAACAATATTTTAAAAAACCCCTAGAACTGCAATTCCTTATTCTCTTTCTTGACTTGATGACACTCAGGATTCTACTATTTTCAAGGTAAAGCACTTTTATATTATGAGCACTTCATCTACCTATGAATCCATGACGGCATCTATATAATCAGCTCCTTCCACCTATATAGACTATAGTCTCTGGGTATTCTCATCTTGTGAGAGTCTTATTTTGTATTTGCACAAATCCTCCATGAAGAGTCACCCCATTTTCCATTCACACATATCCTCATAAATGTCATACATTATGAGCACAAAATAAAAAAGAGCAAAGCAGGCAAAAACATTTTTCCAATTGAGTAATTGTTTACTTACGGACACAAACAGGAGTTTGTCCAGACCACTTGTGATCCTGTAGGCATATCCTGACAGATGTTCCAACAAGCCTAAATCCAGGATTACATTGATAGACCACAGTGTCACGATAACTGAAGCCATCTCCACTAATATGACCATTTACAATTGGATCTGGAGAACCACAGTGACCAGCTATAAGGAGATAAATAAAAGTAATTAAAAAAGAAAATTACAGAATATCATTGACTTTTGCCTTCCATGAAAGTATTTAATTCGTCATTTATTTTATTCTATGGTAAAATCACATGGTACATTCAGGGATAATGCTATGTAGGTACCACAGGCAAGAGCCTCACTTCTCTCCATATACAACATTTTGGGAGGTAACAAAGTGGTAGTCAACTTATTTCTCTCCTGAACCTCTCTTTGCCTATCAACTTTGCACTTCCTTACAAATGTAAGCTTCTTAAGTATAGGTACTGCTTCCTTTTTATCTTTGTATCTTTAGGAAGAAGCACATTATTTGGAACCCAGAAGGCATTTAATAAGTGTTTGCTGATGAACTGATTGATTTACACACACACACACACACACACACACACACACACACACACAAACACACACCCCTCTCTCAAAGTCTCTTTATAGAAACAGACCACACAGACTTAGGTAATTTGTTCACTGTTTAAATTAGATAGTTCTTCACTTCATTAAGTAGATGAAGAAGAAAAGTTAGTTAATTCATTTGTATACTATGTAGAATTTTCAAGTCAAACTTAAAGAGTGAATGATTAAGTGCCCCACACTATAGAGTAATTACATTTACCTATCAGGAACAGGTAAATAAGGATCAAATTTTGTGAAGATTCATTTTCCACTGGTGACTTCTAGAATTTTCTCAACTCTATTAATCCAGTGGAATCATCTCATTATTTTAACCTTAGGTAGGTAAAGTTTTCAATTATGTTTCACAGAATCTGAGTCAGAAGGCAGTATTCCAACCTTCCCTTAAAAACAGCTGATGTGTGTAAAGACATTTTAAAGTTTGTAAAACATTTTACACACATAATCTCATTTGAGTGTAGCAAAGACTCTGTTAAGTATTAATGATATTATTAGCCCCAAAGAAACTGAGATAAAGATACAGCTAGTGTCAGAGATGAGATGTAGACCCTGGTCCACTTATTCAAATCCCAGCATTCTATCCACTATCATACTTCTTCTCTACCCAAGAACCCTGTATAACATACTATCTAGGACAGCAAGACTTTGAATGAAGATATCCAGGGAAAGGGAACCATTTCTATCTCACACTCTTCATTATCCTTTGGGACAACTCTAATTGTTAGAAAGTATAATTATTTTTATACAGTTATATTTTACATAATTATAATTAAATATTTATATACTTAAAAGATAAATAAACTGTTCCTCAAAACTTCCCACAATGGAAACTCATTTAATCTGTAAACCATGATTCATCTCCTGAATGTCTCACTAGAACCTCAAACTCAAGTTATCACAAACTGAAAACATTATGATCCACCCTTAACCCCCTTTAGTCCCTGGGCCCAATACACAACTCCTGAATTCTCAATTTCTGTTATATGTAAAAAATACTTATCTACTGGTCATCCATTCTTTAAAGTTCTAAGTCAGACTCCTCCATATCTCTTACTTGTCAAAGCTGCCAAGTCCTAACTATGTTTTCATCGATCCTATTCTTTCCATTCCCATTGCTGAGTAGCTCTTTTGCATTATTTTTAGGTTTCCTCCAAAGTTGCAACCCATTCAATGCACCACTAATGGTTTAATCTGCCAGAAGCACAACCCTCATCAAATATACCCTGCTTACAGCTACTCGATTATTGATCCTTCATTCTGTAGCAAATTTGGGGTCATATTCTTCAGCCAGACATTAAATGCCCTGTATGTTCTGCCTTTAACCTATACTTGCAGCCTTATGAACCACTATGTTCTTAAGTATACTCTATACTTAAACTGAATTTGACTTGCCGTTCTTTCACAAAGATGCCCTGCCCAAATCAAATACTGTTTTCTTCATTAAGCAACCCCCTCTATCCACCCACCTCCACATATACTCACACTTTGGTCCATTTAAGTGGATGTTTTTACCACTCTTCTGGGCTCCATAGCATTTTGCGATGGTTTAGCAATGGTTTAGACTACTATAGATTGCCCCTGATAAACCTTTCACAAATTCTGAGATTCTGTGAATACAGTTTATGTACTATGCTTATTTTGAAACAGATTTTTAGGAACTGAAGACTAGGAACTGGATTTTTTTGTGTGTGTGTCTTTTCTCAGTATTAAGTACCTTCCAACTTAACTATCCTTGGTAATATCATTATTATCTCCTGTCACTGAATTATCTTTTAGTTGTTTTGAATGAAGGAGACAAGAGAGGCATAATAAGTTGTCCTACTTCCACTTAGCCCCAATATGGGGTGTCAGGAAACTAGATCACAGTGGGTCACATTTATTAAGAATCTGGCACTCTGTAAGAGGGAAGGCTCCTCTCAATTCAAAATTACTATCTCCTGTAAATAGAGATTTCATTTAATTTTTTTTTCAAAAATATCACTGAATTAGAGAACTTGAGTGTTGGAAGGAACAAGCAAACTCATACATATAAGGGGTTTTTATGCTTTTTATATTTTTTTACATCATTGCAACTAACCCTAAACCTAAATCCTCCATTGTGACAACTTAATATAGTTAAATAAAATAAATCACCTTGAGCCATTTCCAAAAATGTATGCCTCATTTCACACTTCTGGTCTAGTACTTCTCTGCCAAGAGGTACAAGGCACGTTTCAATATGAGTCTTCTGAATTAATGATTAGTCTCTGTTCTTAAGCTTTTTATGTTGTTTTAAAAGAAGAAAACTTTTCCACTGATCCTCAAATTAAGAAGAGGCCCTTTGCAGAAAAGCATGACTGCTCTCCACCCCCTCGAGATCTTCAGTGGCCCCTAATTACTTCTAATGTAAAATACAAAATTCCCAAACTAGTATTTAAAGCCTTCAGTAATCTAACTCTCATTTACTTCTCCTGTCATTTTATTTTCCTTTGCCTTATTTTCTCCTACTGGCAAACTAGTTCACCAAATATTCCATTGTGGTAACACACAATCTCTTTGCTCCATGTATTTCTGTAGACATGGCTCCCCTTCTCTAGAATGTATTCCCTCCTCACTTCTAGCTCATAAAATGTCTAACTTTCTTCAAAGCATAGCTTAGTTGCTACTTCCTTCATAAGGCCTTTCTTGATTCTCCAAGTTCTTAATGTTCTCTTTGAAAATGCTTCATATCAACTTGTTTATATCTGGTTTCATTTACCTCACTGTGAATATGATATATCCTCTCATATAATATGAATTGCTTCAGGACACAGACTTGCATTTTGCCTTTGAATCTCAAGTGTCTTATATATTGTAGACAAAATAAAAGTTTATTTTGTTATTACTGAAGAACAGGCATGGAAAACTAGTATATAATGGGAAGTAGTGGGTAAGGCTTAAAAATAATGATTTTTCTCTCTCCTACTTCTTTAGCACCCTTTTTGAAAATGGATCAACAAGCAGTTCGAGACATAATTTGTAGTTTACATCTAATAGTGCTCTCTGTCTCTGTCTCTCTCTCTTGCCTTCCCTCTCCCTCTTTTTTTCTTTCTCCCTTCTTTCTTTCCTATTTCTTTTTTTCTCCCTTCCTTTTTCTTCTATTCCACTTTATGACAAGTTATTCACAACCAGTCCTAGGAGAGGAAATGTAATGCCATGTTATTTACAGGAATGTTTATGTGTCATACCTTTAGGGTTACTATTAAAAATCATATTATCAATACATGCTATTTTAATAAATTTTTAACTTTAACTTGGCTAGAAATTTCCCCAAAGGTTCATGAACTTACTAATTGTCAAAGAATATCTTTCTCCCTTTCTTTTGAGCAAAACTATCTGCATATTTGTTGTGATTCATTCTGGCAAGTGTCTTACTTCCCACGATCTTGCAGTATCTCTAGTTAAAAAGTTCAATGGCCTTTAACAGACCAGGTGGAGAAATTAAGTCAGTGCTTAACATAGTACCTCTGTTCAACAAATATTTGTAGAATGAATGAATCAGATTTTATAAAAGGTCTTATTTAATCAAGATAGGACACTGCTCATTGAAACATGTTATGGTAACATGCTAATATTATAAGTTTCTTCCTCAGAAGTTCAGAGAAAATAATGATGAGAAGTGCTACTAAATTCTGCACTTATTCCTGACGACCAAGAAAGAATTAATTGCTGATGTGGAAGTGGTGGAAACATAAGAAACATAACCAAGTCATCTTATAATTCATAATATTAAAGTGAGAGAAACATAGCTATAGGCAGAGAAGTATACTATGGAAAATAAGAATCCAGAAATTCAGAGAAACCTAGGTATAATTCTATGTCAAAAATTCTGTCAGTTTTGATTCAAGGGATGAAAAGCTCTCAAAAACTAATCTGCCAATATAATAAAAAGTAATTCCAATACAGGAGAAAAGCAAATGCATTTCAAGATGCAACTGTGATTACTTGGAGAATTCTCAAGTTTATATTTTCAAAGAATACAAATAAAGAATGGCTAAGGGAACAGAGAAAAGAAGGGTAAAAACAGAAATATGCCACAAACATATGGATAGCATCAACAAATCTAAGTCTCAAAACCATTACAAAAGGTAAAGTTGATCATTTTTATTACAGAAAATTTAAAAAGTTTTTGCACAAACAAAACCAATCTAGCCAAAATTAGAAGGAAAGCAGAAAACTGGGGGAGGGGTTTTTGCAGCAAGTATCTGTGATAAAGGCTTCACTTCTCAATAGAAAACTGAATCAAATTTATAAGACCACAAGTCATTCTCCAATTGACAAATGGTCAAAGGAGATGAACAGGAAGTTTTCAGACACTAATGCACTCACTGTTGGTGGAGTTGTGAACTGATTGAACCATTGGAGGGCAATTTGGAAATGTGTCGAAAGAGCTATAAAACTGTGCATACCTTTTGATCCAACAATATTACTTGCTAGGTTTATATCCCAAAGAGATTAAAAAAAGGAGGGGGCAAGGACCTATTTGTACCAAAATATTCATAGCAGCTCTTTCTTATGGTGGCTAAGAATTGGAAATTAAGGGGGTGTAC